CACAAGACCTGACAGAGATAGCTTGAGGAAAGACGGGTTTGTGCTCACGGTTTCAGATAATTGCAGTCTGTTGTGGGGAAGGAATGGCTGCAGACATGTAGCTGAGCTTGTTCACATCACGGCTGGCCAGGAAGCAGAGAGGCTGGATCCAGCGCCACACTCTAACCATCAAACCTCTACCCATAGCAACCTCCTTCCATGAGCCAGGCCCCACTTCTAAGTGTTTCTTATAGAGCCGCTTAACCAGGTCCTAGCGTTTCTCCTAATCTTGAGATTAGGAAGATTAAGTGAAGCAAGAAAATTTCTGATGCCAGCAAACTGACTCCACACAGTTGGCTTGCTGCCAACTCCGACAAACTGAATCTTAGCTCCTGGACTGAATTGATGGAGAAAGAAGACCGGCTCCCATCTCACAAGTTGTATTCTGGCCTTCAGGAGAGTACCAGAGTCTGTGCCCCCCATCCATGTATGTGTACACAAAATGAATGTAACTTTTAAAATGTTTCAATATATTAACAAATATATGTAAAAGGCTTGATGAATGAAAAGTGTGTGCATGTGTGTGTGGTGTATGCACACATTCATGTGGGCTGTGCACGCTTATATCTATAGGTGTATATAGAGGCAAGACGTTGGCATCAGGTGTCTTTCTTGCTCAATCTTTATTACTTTCCCAGTGAGTTTTTAATAGTAGTTATGCTGTGATTCTGGGTTCCAGGATAGGGACTGTCATGTACCCAGGTCCCTCTATACTACCTGTGGAGAAGGACAGAGGACAGAGTAGAGGCAAGATGGAGCCAGGCCAGATTTTATGTCAGCAGTTTATGGTCTGGCTCTGGTTGGGAAGGGTAGTTTGGTAGTTGCTTAGAGCGAGCTCAATGTGACCCTTAGCAAAAATCCAGTTTATGTTTTGAAATTGGGTTTCTCACTGATTAAAGGTGCGCCACTACCACCCGGCTGAAAAATGCTTCTTGAAAGTGAAACTTGAAGCCAGGTTAATCCCAGCACTCAGGAGGCCGAGGCAGGCAGACCTCTGTGAGTTGGAGGCCAGTCTGGTCTACTGCAGAGTGAGTTCTAGGACAGCCAGGGCTACACAGAGAAACCCTGTCTCAAAAACCTAAAATAAAATTAAAAAAAAATAAACAGAATTAAAAAAGCAAAACTTTCAAACCAGGAGTAGTAGTGAATACTTGTGACCCCAGCACTGGCAATGCTGAGGTAGGGTGGTCATGAGTTTGAGGCCAGCCTAGACTACTACCTAGGGAATCCAAGGCAAGTTTTTTCATACTGAGATCCTGTCTCGGAGAATCACACCAAACCAAATATCCTAGTTTGCCTCTCGGAAGCAACTTTGGGGGGAAAGGGATTTTTGTGGCTTTTACTTCCATGTCCCGGTCCATCACTGAGGTGAGCCAGAGCAGGACCTGGGGGGTGGAGCTGAAACTGAAGCAACCAAGGGGATGCTGCTTACTGCCTTGTTCAGGATGGGAGCTGCCCACGGTGCCACCCAACAGGGCAGTCTGATGGAGTCATTCCTAACTGAGAATCATCCTTTTCCCAGGTGACTCAAGTTTGTGTCACGTTGACAAAAATTAACCAGCATAACAAACAGAAGCCCAGACAGCTTTCTCTGTAGATGGCAGAGAGGCCAGCACTCCCCACCCCACCGGCCTGAACTGAACTGATGCCAGTTCCCAGAAAAGGGCAAAAGGGAAGGAAATGAGCCCTCTCCCTTTGCTCTCTGACTGAACATAGTTCCTCACCAAAGATAGCCAATGTGTCTGCCTGTCTACATCTCTCTGCTTCTGTCTTTGCCTGTGCCCTTAAAGGATCCTTGTAACTACAGCTCAGCTGGAACTGTGAGGCCAGGCACATTAGTGGGGGCTGGCTGGCCCATCTTGGAGCTTATAGACTTGCTGTGGACTTGGGGACCAGGCAGCCCACAGCATATGTCAGTTCTAAGATTTTTTTTTTCCAGTGAAGCAGGTCTAATCCAAATGCTGCCTTTCAGGATATGTCTATTTTTTGGTGAAATCTGTGATTGTATCAGTGCCAAGTTCCTGAGTATATCTGGCTCCACTTTTGTGAGCTACTGAAGGGAATGCCCATAGAGCTGCTCCGGCCCTTGTTCTAGAGGCTACCTTTTTTTTTTTAAAGATATACTTTATTTATTGTGGCTAGTGTTCTGGCTGCATGTTTGCCTGCCGGAAGAGCGCATCAGATCACATTACAGATGATTGTGAGCTACTATGTGGTTGCTGGGAATTGAACTCAGGATCGCTGGAAGCGCAGTCAATACTCTTAACCTCTGAGCCATCTCTCCAGCCTGGAAGCTCCCTTTTACAAATTACATTTACTCATTTGTGTGTTGAGGGGGTGGTGCATGCATACCACAGTGCTGGGGTGAAGTCGGGGGACAGCTTGTGGGAGTTCTCTCCTTCTGTCAACTGGGCCCTAGGACTCAAACTCAGGGTGTTAAGCTTGGTGGGGTGTTTTTAATCTCCTGAGCCATCTTGGATGGCCTTGAACTCTGGATCCTCCTGCCTCTACCTCCTCCTTAGTGCTAAGAATACAGGCCGGTGCCAGTATGCCTGGACGTTTATTTTTCTTTCAGTGCCTTGTAAATCTGTAATTATTTTCCAATTCATTTTAGAACGGTGTGTTTAATAGTGCATGCCTGTATTCACGAAGCTTGGGAGGCTGAAGCAGAAGGATTGCTTTCTTTAAGGCCAGCCTGACCCACAAAGTGAGGTCCAGTCCAGCTAGGGTTACATGGTTACCCTGTCTCAACACACACCTTAAATTAAAACTAACCCCCCCACACACAAACCTCCTGCAATCCCAGTACTCAGAAGGTTGAGGTAGGAGGGTTGCCTCAAGTTTAAGGGCTACAATATTGAAACTCTATTTTAGGAAACAACAAAAATCTTCTTTTCTGGCTGAGATGAAGCTTTAGTAGGTAAAGAATTTGCTTTGTATGAGGATTGGAGTTGGGCTGTCAGAAACTAGCCTCAACACTGCGTGGGTATGTCATGTCAGCCTGCTTATAATCGCAACACGCAGGAGGGAGAGACAGACTCCCTGTCTCTGGAGTAAACTGGTTTAGTCAGAATAGCAGAAATTGTACTCTACAGATTTACCCTGCTTCCGCACTCGGTATATAAGGTGGAGAGCAATGATGGAAACCAGCTACATTAACATCTGGCCTTCACACACATGCACGCACATAGCCAGGTGGTGGTGGCGCAAACCTTTAATCCCAGCACTCGGAAGGCAGAGGCAGGCTGATTTCTGTGAGTTCCAGGCCAGCCTGTTCTAGGACAAGAGCAAGTTCTAGGGCAGGTTCCAAAGCTACACACAGAAACCCTGTTTCAGAAAAAAAACATAGTAATAATAATAATTAATAATATAAAATAAAAATGAGTATCTCCTTTTCAACTCTGCAGGCTACCCCCAAATCCAGACACTTATCACCTCCCTGGAGGATTTTTGCAAGGACTTCCTTCCAGTTAGTCCTTTTTTCTTAGCCCAAGATACCTGGAACTCACTACGTAGTCTAAAAAGACCCTGAATTTCTTATCTTCGTGCCTCCAGCAAGTGTGGGATTACAGGTTAATGGGATGCTGAAGAACTAGGCTTTCTGCGAGCTTGGGAAACAGCTTGCCAACAGAGTTACATGCCCAGACCCAATATATATGGGTTGGTTTTGTTGTTGTTTCTCTTTGCAGTGATAGGGATCGAACTCAGGGCCTGTACAAGCTAAGCAAGTGCTCTACCATTAAGCTTATCGCCCTGTCTTGCTTTCTTAACTTCAGTATTAGTGCAAAATACTCCATGCATGGGTTTTGCTTCGTGCCTTCCTATGATAGCCAGCATGCTGGAATGAAGTCAGACTCAAGGGTCTCCAGATCTTTCCGACCTTACTAGCCGTTTCTTCTTCTAATGCTCTCGCCTTTGCCTCTCCACAACACCCTCGCTGTTCAGGTCTTTGCGGGGCTGTTCCACACCCACGGTAGGGGCATTTCTCTTCCCCACCAGCAGCACAGGTAAAGTGGGAATAAGAACCTCTGCCCTGTTCCTTGGAAGGATCCAGTGTGGTTAATGCTTTTAATAAATTTTTAATAAACGATCAAGAGGTGAGAGCATGAACGACGGAGTCTGGAGCCCGAACACACCTGGGAAACACAGCTTCCATCAAATCAGTTCTTAATCGTCATGCCCCGCCCCTCAAAAACAGTCCAATATCGAAAAACCGAAAAGAGAAAAAACCCAATCCAATAGCCAGACCTCGTCAAGTCAATCTCTAAGCCCCGCCCCTCAGAACACTTAGCCGGAAGACTCTGCCCCTCCAGACGCTCAAACTCCAGGCCCCACCCCTTGGAGCACTTGAAGCAGGTCACTCAAACCGGCGAGGTCCCGCCCCCCGGACCTACCAGCAGCTAAGCCCTGCCCCGTAAGGCGAACCAACGGTCGGGTCGTACACCCCGTTATACTCAAACCAATTCTTATTCCCCCAAGCACTAAAACGGTCAAGACAGGAGCCTCAAGACGCTCAAAGGCTAAACCCCGCCCTACAGTGTGCGCAATCAGGCCCGGTCCGGACCGGGAGCGCGCCAACGGAAAGGTCCCGCCCCTGGGGAAACTCAATCGACCAGGCTCCGCCCCACAGAGCACTAACGGCCGTGCCCAGCCTCTCGAGCCGCGCAGGCGGCCGTACTCCGCACTGTAGAGCTCTCCAACCGCCCGGCCCCGCCCACGGAACCAAGCTCCGCCCCGCAGAGAGCTCCAACCGCCTGGCCCTGCCCACGGAACCGGGTAACGACCGGGCCCCGCCCTCGAGGCGGTCCACCCTGCAGAGCGCGCCTAACGCCAGGTCCCTTCTCATAGGACCCTGTGACGGCTAGGCCCGCCTCCCGAGGCTCTATTTGGATCAGGCCACGCCCCCAAAGCGCAACCCCGGCCGGTCCCGCCCCTCGAGGCGCGCCAACTGTCCTCCCCCGCCCCTCGTGCGCCGAGACGTGAGGACGCTGGCGTGGTAGGCTGAGGTGGCAGTCCTCCTGCGGCCATGGAGCTGCCGCAGATGCCGGAGCTGATGGGGCTATCTCTGCTGGTGGGGCTGCTGGCCCTAGTGGCCACGGCGGCGGTGGCCCGGGGCTGGCTGCGGACCGAGGAGGACAAGGCCAGTCCGCCCGTCCGTAAGTAGACTGGACCGGATAGCGGGAGCTTTGTGGAGACTTTGCTCCCAGCCGCCGCGTGGTCCGACCTCAGTTTCCCCGGTCGTGAGATGAACCGCCCGTGCAGATACCGGGTTGCACGTTCGAGGTTGGTTACACCTCAGGGGCAGGACCCTCTGGAACCCGAGTTCTACGCTCCTAGGTTGTATGTCCTCTGGAACCCGAGTTCTACGCTCCTAGGTTGTAGGTGACTTTTCCTGGGACACCCCTCCGCCACACACCTTCCCCGTCCCCGGGTCGGCTACGAAGACGCAGTTAACTCCCGAAGTTTGCTGTGTGTTCACTTTCTTGGCAAATGGGGGTCATTTGGAAATCGCTATGGCCAACTCTGCCTGGCGGGAGTGTTCACGGAGCTCCTCTTGTCTGTTGATGAGCTTCGGGGTCTTTGGATTCCTTTAGTAAATGAGAAGCATGTAAAAGCGCACGTCTACACTGTGGGTCTGAAAATGCAAGCGAATTATACAGGGTGTTAAATTCACAGTAATTCATAGTAAGTCCATACTAGAAAGGGAACGAGAACGGGGATATGAATGGCTCTGCTTTCTTTTATTTATTTGTTTATTGTTTGAATGAAAGTTGAGGATCCTGGAACTCCTCATTGAGGGTAGGGAGCCCATTGCGGTGGGTTTGTTTGTTTGTTTGTTTTGAGACAGGTATTCAGTATTCACTATAGTCCAGCCTGGCTTTGAATTATCGGATACTCCTGCCTCCGTCTCTCAGGAGCAATGGGATGTACAGGTCTGTGCCCCCTATTCCTAGCTTTGTTGGCTTCTGGGTATGTGAAACCCCAGGTCCCAAGCAAGTTGCTGTCCACCTGAGCTACACCCGTCCCAGTGTAAACTTTTGCTAGGGAGGCCAAAGAAGAAAGTTCTGCCAGTGCCAAAACTCAAGAAGGCGGGGATTTCAAAACTGTGGACATAGCTCTGCCTTAGGCCTAGGATCCTCCCCAGTGAGGGGCCAGCAGCAGAGCTCAGTGATAGAGGTCTTCCCTGTGGTACCTAAGGCCCTGAGTTTTATCCCAGAACTGAAAGAATAAAAGAACAGCATCTGGTGTGGCTCCAAAGGTCAGCACGGATAACTTAGAGGCAGATTGTATGTAGCAAGTCTAATAGGGTTTAGTTCCTGTAAGAATTAGGGAGCATCTACTGACACCCAGCACGGCAGTTTTATGTGTCACCCGGTTCTCCAAGCTTATTGTGTGTCCCCGTGCTGATGTGGAGGTTGAAAGACAGCTCTCAGGAGTCAGTTACCTTCTACCGTGTAGATTTGCACTGAGGTAGTCAGGGTTAGTGTATGACACTGTAAGTGGCTTCTCAAGTTTCTCATCAATGTAGCAGTGCTTTTGGCTTGTATCTTGCTTATACTATCTCATTCAATTCTCAACCTTTGCTTTGTTTTGTTTTATGACAAAGGGAAGTCCAGGTTGACTTTGAACTTCTCCTGCCTCCACCTTCTGAATGCTAGAATTACAGGCATACACCCCCAAGCCTGGTTTCAGTATCTTTTTAAGGAAACCAAGACTTGAAGCAGTTAAATAACTTACCCAAGACCGGGTCCTGCGGGTTCCCTTGTTTGTAGTATTCCCTATGTTGGGATGCGTGGCTAGAATCCACCCAGCTGTGTCAGCTCAGAGAGGTGCTGTACAGATTGAGCAAGCAGCCTCTGCAAGATCACTCTGAGGGCTGGGGATGTAGAATATGAACCCTTAGCATGCATGGGACTGTAGTTTCAGTCCTCAGTGTGAAAAAAAGATCACTCAGTGATAAAGACTGAATCCAACTCAAATCTGATTTTTAAATTTTTTTTCAAAAAAAGCTTAAACATTTTTAAAAATTATGTGTATATGTCTTTGGTTTGTCCATGTTTGTGCAGGTGTCCTTGGAGACCAAAGGTGCCACATCCTCTGGAACGAGAGTTCTAGTTGGTTGTAAGCCACCTGATGTGAGTACCAGGAGCCAAACTGGTTCTCTGAAAGAGTAATATATGCTTAACCACCAAGGCATCTCTCCAGCCCCATTTGTTGTTTGTTTGAATTTGAGACTTTGCATATGCTTGGAAAGCCCTCTACTATTAAATTATATCCCTAGCCCCCCCACTTTTTAATGAACATAGGTGTGATGGTAAATGTATAAACATGTTGTGAACATGGAGATCAGAGAACAGCCTTGTGTATTATTAGGAACACTGATTGCTTCCATCGAGACAGGGTCTCATATTGACTTGGAGCTCATAAGTAGATTCGGCTGGTTTGCCAGAGAGTCCCAGTACAAATATATGCCACCATAATTGCCTTTTTTTTTTTTTTTTTGCACATATCACTTTCTCTCCTCAAGGACAAAGTCCTTATGTCTTGGTGCTCTACCCAGAGCCTAGGTAGTCCTAGGTACTCAGTAGATATTTGTGCGTGAGTGCATGGGTAAATGACAGGACCTTTTCTTCTAGGCCAAAAAGCAAACGAATCCAAGAAGTCAGGATCCAAGAAGCAGAAACAGAATCAGCGGGTTCGCAAGGAGAAGCCTCAGCAACATACCTTCACCCACCGCCTTCTGGCTGCAGCATTAAAGGTACTTGGTACTCCTGGGTACTGTGATGGGGAAACTCTGTTAACCAGTCACAGTGAATTGGGGCGTGGGGACCTGGACCCCAGGGAAGAAAACCTGGAGATCCAGGTGTGCTCACTCTCCCGCTATGCTGCGCTCACCAGACCATTTTGGATCTGGGACCTCTCACTCTGATGGTGTGAGTTTTCCCATTTTTTCAATTATTAAAGTATAGCTTGTTCTTGAGCTTATCTGATTGTTCATTACTGGTTCGCCTACAGTACTGAACACATGCAGTATATACACTTGAAGACCCACCCCCCAGACTTTGTCCTTTGTAGTAATCTGCATATTACATACACTTCTAACTCTTACCAAGAGAGTAGGCATACCCCGTCTGGCCCTTTGGCTTTTTTTCCTGCCTTGTAGTACTGAGGAATGAATCCAGGGCCTTGTGCATGTTAGACCATTCTACCACTGAGCTACACCTCCAGTCCTTGATTGGCGGAGTCTACATAAGTACTCTACAGCTAAGCACCTTACTGGGGGATTCTAGGCAGCCTCTCTACTGCTGAGCTTCATTCCTAGCCCACTCTACTTTCTATTTATGTTTTTCTACTTATAAATTTGAAATAGTTTCACCAAATTGCTTGGGCTGGCTTCAGACTTTCTCTGTAACCCAGGCAGACCTTGAACTTGAGATTCTACCACTTCCGCCTTCCAAGTAGCTGGGATTATAGAACTGAACTACCAGGACTAGCTTATCCTGTTCTGTCCTCAGCTTCTTGGTCATTCAGACACCTGGGCCACAGAGTTGCAGCTCTAGGTTCAGCCTCCCAATCCACTGGAGAATATCTCATTTATACTTCCTATATTCTTTCCCTAGAGCCATAGTGGGAATATATCTTGCATGGACTTCAGTAGCAATGGCAAGTATCTGGCCACCTGTGCGGATGACCGCACTGTCCGAATCTGGAGCACCAAAGATTTCCTTCAGCGGGAACATCGCAGCATGAGAGCCAATGTGGAGCTGGACCATGCCACCTTGGTGCGCTTCAGCCCAGACTGCAGGTGGGATAGGACAGAGCCTCAGGCTTGCCTGCCAAAGCCCAGCTCCTGACTTTGGTCTTCCCAAGTCCAGTTGGGGGTTAGTGAGGAGGGACCAAGAGTCTACCTTGGGATGACATAAAGAGAGCATCCATACAGTATGGGCACCTCCTCTGACCCCTTGGAGGTTCTGCTCTACAAAAAGCAGAGAAGGGATGATCGATCCTACCATGGATGTTCTAAAAATCTAGCTTTGCCATGAATTTTGGATGCTCTTATGACTTCTAGGTTCTAGAAATGAAAGGAACCAAAGCTATGAGGATCCTTTCTTTCTTTTCTTTTGTAGTATACCTGACAAGGCCTTACCACTGAGCTATACCCTCAGCCTTCATTGCTTTGGGTTTTAGTTTGTTGGTTGTTTTGAGATAGGACACAGGGACTTGCTATATTGTTCTCACTGTGTAAAGCAGCTTGTCCTTGACCTTGTGATCTTTCTGCCTCAGTCTCCCCAGTGCTAGGATTCAGTGTGGCCTTGTATGCCTTTGTTCAGGGAAATACAAGCAAATATTTACCGTAGAGAGGGCATCAACAACAGACCAAAGAGTGATTGTACCATGTGTACGTTGGTGAACCAGTGAGATTATTGGGGTTGCTTACAGGAGTATAGAAAGAGGATGCTTAAAAGAACATGGACAGGCCTGGCGGTGGTGGTACCCGCCTTTAACCCCAGCACTTGGGAGATAGAAGCAGCTGGATCTCTGAATTCGAGGCCAACCTGGTCTACAGAGCAAGTTCCAGGATAGCCAAGGCTACACAGAGAAGCCCTGTCTCAAAAAACAAACAAAAACATGGACAATGCTTTGGGAGCCGAATCATAAAAAGCCCACCCCTGCGTAGGTAATGACTGTGTATTGGACTTTGAGGCATTGCCAACAGACAGTCTTCTCTTCCCAGCACTTGTTTGCTATTTCTATAACCTTTAAGAGGGGCCTTATGAGTCTTGTGACTTTCAGAGCTTCCTGCTCCTTAAGTCTCAAAGCTCCCATCTAGGAAGGGTATTATTTTTTATGTTTTAGTGCTAAGGAACAAACCCAGCGCCTACTACTGAGATATATCTCTGAATTGTTCTGTTTTGCTCTTTGTGTGTGTAGGCCAGCC